GCCCCATGGTTACACAGACCAGTCGTGAAATGTCTTCCTATGAAACAATATAATTAGAAGAGTTATTGTCACTGAAAATCCTTCACAACGATGTGAAGAGAAGCTAATGAGAGGTCTGGCTTTGAGATGAGCCAGTCCAACGATAATCCGTGTCCTTATCCATCTAACAAAATTTTCTTGCCCAAACTCCAAAGACATCATGTATATGAAGTACATAATGAACTACAAACCAAAATACTAAAAATACAGTTACATAGTTAATATTAAGATAAGAGGTGTTCTTGTCTCTGTTATCGGTCTGTACTATTTAATTACAATCCTTAGCCAACTTGCTATTAGGTATTATTTTATACACTATAATCTAACACTCAAGGGATGATCGTTTTGAGATATTCTTCTAGTCTAATATACTAATAATTACTACTTTCATTTAAACGTTTCCTTAATGTGATTGTCTTCAGACTCTTAATTAACATACAGAAAACTACAATTAGAAATTGAAAGTGAAGCTCAGTTTAAGGTAGAAAACATCACTAACCCTATTAGATAATTATATCACGGTATCTCCTCTGCATATTGTAGTCAAACAATTTTATGCGGGAAATATAAAGGTGGGAAAACTGAGCTATGTTTACGTGTGCTTTCAAATAAATGGTTTGATGTAAATATTATCTTGGTAGTTTTATTAATAATAAAGGAAAACAATTTATCTAAACCAGGCATTTTTTTTTTAATACCTGGCTGCTAAGGAGAACAAATAGAGATGCAAGAACATTATTTTACAAACAAAATTAAGAATAAAGTCTAATCTAAATAGGTAGAAACAAAGTAAGCAAATGTTTAGATATAAAAATATTCTAGAATGTCCTGAAATCCTATAGTCTCACTCATACACTGCAAAGCTTTGGCTCTCAAGTAAGCAGATCAGTTTAAAAAAAACTGTTTGACATAAAATCTTAGGAAATTGGGATTCCTTAACTAATAATCAATAGTAATGATAGTGTAGCAAGATTCTTTACCATATTTAGTTGTTAAATTTTCTAAAATTTTAATCATTTTATGCCAATTTTGTATTTACACGAAAAATTATTTTAAAAAAACTTAAAGAAGGTTACATTGTATCCATGAAAAAAAATGAAATAAATACAAATTTGGAAACCCTCCTTCTCGGTATAACACAGCTTCAGGAAACATAATTAGATCACTAGGTACCCAGTCTCGTCTCCCAGTCACTCTCATTAAAATTCTAGAAAGCCAACAATTTCTTGAGACTGAAGTTATTATTCCCATCTTCCAGAGTGACAATAAGTTTCATAAAAATTACATGTGTGAAAAAACTTCTCTAATAAAGAATTTCTCTTCACCATCCAACACCCTCTCAAATTACTCCCATACTTATCCAATCAAATGGTGTTGACAAGAAGCACAAATTTAATGCTAGTTCAGCAAGAATATAGGTAAGGGAATAGATAAGCCAGTTAATTCTACCAAAATCCATGTCAAAACCTTAAAAACATGAGTTTTAAGCTAACACTCTGTTAGTGGCACTGTGGTCTCTTTTTTTAGCCTATTAGGATCAGGAACATCACTCACACTCTTACAAAAGAAGTGGGACATCCTCAAGGAAAATGTTCCACTAAGCCTTAAAGTATGCAAATAATTTATTCAACCTCCCTTTTTTGGGTATAAAAAAAAGGTTGCAAATAAATTCGTAAGAGTCTCCTACTGAATCTGTACATACTTCCCAAATATAAATCATTCTAGTATAAAACTCACAATATAATATTAAAATTCACACTATATTTAAGTGTATTTTAATATTCTGCAAATAAGTCTTTGCATTTGATAAAGTACAGTCAAAATGAAAATTATCTTAAGTTGGTTCTAAGTTCTACCTGACCCTGCAAAACTAAACACAAGTTACGAGAAATCGTGTTTTCAGAACATAAAACTGATTTTGAACAAAATTCTGTGACATCAAATCAAAGTCACTTCTATATTGGCATCATGGTACCTTACACTTGTAACAATTTTAAGACACTCGCCCTTTTTCTTAATTTCCTTTGAGAAACTGCCTTCAAGACTGATAGGTTTTGTTTTCTGCATTTCTTAGGTGATGCTAAAAATTCATTCTTTCAGTAGATATTTAGAAATGGCCAAAAGGGATTTAGAAATACAGCTGATGTGCCATTCCATTTTGTTCCAAAACTGATGCAAAATGTAAGTATTGAGGATTTTTTTTTGCATGTCTTCGATTTTCATTCTGAAGAAAAATTTCAAAGAGGAGTTCTGAAATCATTCCAGAACTTTAGAGAAGCACTGTAATCTTGGGGTAAATTATCTGAAGTAAAAAAATTCAGCTTTCTATGTATACATACATAGAAAATATAGCATTTATAAAATGTTTTTAAAAATAGTTATGTCATTCTTTATACATATTTCACACTATATATGTTAAATGTTGTGAGCACAATAAAACAAACTATCAATATTTGTATCAGTTGAACAAGATTTTAACATTATACAAGAATGACTTGTCTTTATCTTTATTTTGGAGGCCAAGGTACGTGGTTAAAAGGCATATACATTTACGTGAGGTCATAAATGAAGTGCCATGATTCAGTTGTTATTTTCCTTTCCATAAATAAAATGGTAAGAATATATGTGTGTTTTATATGGTTATGAGTTTTACTTTAACTCCACAGCCTAAATGTGAGAAAAGAAATTCTGGGCTTGTAAATTTCAGACCTTAACTTTCAGCTCCCTGAGCCACACCAGTTAACTCTAGCTTTTGGTTCTAGGCCCCTGGAGCCAACGTAAATTAGGGTTAGGAGTCCCAATGAAATAATACCTGGAGAGGTGTTCCAGGCATTTTTTTGTGTGTCTGTCTTAACTCACCAATTGCACAATCACATAAAATAAGTATCATGAATTACACTTAATTCTGTGTAAGACCAAAAAGGAACAGAAAGATATGTTACAGTCTTTGAGTCTACTTTTTAGTAATCATATAAACTGTTGGAAATAATGGAGCATAAGAGCTATGCTCTAGCTACAGCCCAAATTTGGGCCTGATCATCTAACAGTCAGACCTTATCTTTATTGGCCTAACAGATAAGAAGCTTAAAATTTGATCAGTAAAGTCAACCAGTAAGGAATGTCACACGTCACACCCTGCCTCTTACTACTCTTTGTTCTCCTCACAAGTTGCCAATATCCTTAGAAGTATTATTATTCTCTGACCAAAATTAACTCCATTACTGCCTTAACTTTGCTTTGCTAGGAATTTCACCAATCTGTATTTATTAAGGACCTAATGTATGTCTTGATTTTTCTTGAGGTCTCCAAAACTTAGAGCTATGAGGGCATTAATCTAGAAAATGACATCATCACTAATCATATAATCCTTTTAATCCTATCTGTGTTTCTTTTTTAATTGTTTTAATGCTTTATTTGTTTTTTTGAGAGCCAGAGACAGAGTGTGAGTGGGGGAGGGGGAGGGAGAGAGGGAGACAACAGAATTCGAAGCAGGCTCCAGGCTCTGGGCTGTCAGCACAGAACCTGTTGTGGGGCTCGAACCCACGAACTGTCAGATCAGGACCCGAGCCGAAGTCTAATGCTCAACCGACGAGCTACCCAGGCGCCCCCTATCTGTGGTTTTAACTACCAAAAAAGTCACTCCCTTCATCTCTAAATTTTAACGGTTTTGAATAATGATTCGAGGTAAGGTACACTTGATATGTGATTATAAAATGAGACCATTTAAAGGTATAGATTTTACATTGGCTTATAAAAATAAAAAAAAAGTGATAATATAGTTCCTGGGGTAAATTGCTTAACAGCTACAAAACCATTTTTTAGATAATACAATTTCATTTAATACAAGTATGCTGTTATCAAACTCATCAGTCAAAGCACCCAGCAACATACATACAAACAATAACCTTTCGGTATTTTACATCTTCTATGTATTCATTAACTTGTTAACCCAATCTTTAGCTGTCATGTTTGCTTGTTTTTATTGTTACCCAAATACAGTCATAGGGCTCATTAAAAGAAAAGAAAAAAATGAATTGATTTCCTAGGAAGATCACTGAACTTTTTAATGCCAACATGGCAATTAAGGCAAAGAAATAATTCATACACAAAAATTATGCCCCAGAATGCAGGCAGGTTCTCAAAAAAGCTGACATGTACAAAAAAAAATTTTGTTACATTTGGTTATTATATTCTTACAAACATATCCTGTGAAATATGTAAAAAAAAAAATCTTGTCTGAAAATACCCGAGTCTTATAAATTACTTCTATCTGGAAGTGAATAGAGTAGCAGAACAATGGCAATTTCAAACAGGTTTGTTCACAAGTGATGTCAATAACTAGTATTTTGTTCAGAAAAGTTAATTTTAATTCATTCTTAAAAAAAATTGTTAGCTTTGCCCTTTTACCTTACTCAAAAACAGCTGAAGTTAAAAAAAAAAATAAACTTTCCCCTGAGGAGTCATTTGTAAAAGGACTAAAAAATTAGATAAAAAGCAACAGAAAAAATGTCAAATATATTATTAGCAAAAGGTGTGGCTGATGAGGCCTTACACATAATTTTAGTCTGTTCAGAAAAATATATTGTGAGAATTACTTAAAATCAGATGACAATCAGTTTCCACATAGTATAGGATTGCTTACATTCCCCATGATTTCTGCAAACCTTGTTTTCTTAAATTACTTGGACAAATGCTAGCAGGATTTGCATTAAAATTGATTTCTCCGCAATAGATTGATAAAATATTCTAGCACAGCCCATTTTATTCCATTGGACTCAAAGATGAATTTCCTCTAATAATTTCCTTAGCATTAAGAAAGAATAATAAAAAGCTCACAAACCCACTTCAATTGAAATTTGCATTCAGGAAGTGCTTGTCTGATATAATTCAGCTGATAAATATGAACCTATGTGTTTATCAAATCCCTAAGAAGATTATCTAAATCAACTCCGTGTAATTACCATTCACCATCTGTTCCACCAGGGCCTGAGCTGATCTGCTGGCATCTTGCAGTTTTCTGAACTTCTCCGCTTTTTCTCGCTCTATGGCCTGCAGCATGATAGCAAAGGTGAGTATTTCAATACAAGGATTGTGAAGCTACACAGTAATTATAACTTCTACCTGCCCTTTCAAGCCTTAAGATATTTCACTCTGTCAGCTTATCGTGTGAATCTAAAGACGTCTCTCTCAAGTTTCTTGGCACCAGAATCATCAAAATGACAGTGAAAGCACAAACCATTTTCATACCGAATTGCTACTACTTTTAATAAGATTTCTGCTCTGAACTTATTTTTTTTTTACATAATAGTTTCTGATGCACTGTAATATAAAACTGCAAAAAAAAAAGGAACAAAAGCAAATTGTAACAAAGAATCAAATGATACAGTGACAGATAATTAAAAATGGAATTTGTCTTTTAAATACACACCACTGAAGTTACTCTGAATAACTTATATATTCTGTATTAAAATCAAAGAAAAAAGTCTTATGAGTATATAAAAAGGGAAAAGCGTACCAGCAGGAATATTTTAGCAAAATAAAACCCACCTATATTTATCAAAACACAAGGCTGCAGGTTAATTTTTCTCTCTAAAACTTTCAAAGTACTCCCATTTCAAGGAAAAATAGATTCAGTTTCAAAATGTTTTCGAAATCCCTTTGTTCATTTCTCCTAACATAGAGTTAGCCTTTGAACAATGAAAACACAATTATTTAAATTAACGAAATGGAGCATTTGATACCCTTGGATTTAGCTAATAATGTCTCTACAGAGATATTTTTAAGATCACATAAAATACCAGATTGTAAAATGTGATACATTAGAACTGCATGACCATAGTCATTAACAATGAGGCTGTAACAGTATGCTTTATGTCGTAAAACAGAACTATTCACAGAAAAAGCAAGCTTTAAGTCATTTAACATATAGCTAGAGCCACACTCCTGTGACTAAGTAATAGTATAATACAAAGATTTCACTTGAGTTTGTGACAGATTATTCCACATCAGACCATTTTTCTAATTTTTATTCAGATCTCTAGGCATTTAAACAAATATTCCAAGGTGTAATACTGGAGCACAGGTGGGAGGCATATAATCAATAAGTGCACACTCTGCAGAGCTTTGTTCAATAGAATTTTCTTCAAGGACAAAAATATTACACATCTGTGCTGTCCAGTACAGTAGCCACTAGCCACACGTGGGTACTGAGCACTTGAAAGGCGGCAAGTGTGACTGAGGAAACTAATTTTTAATCTAATATAATTAAATTTAAATTTAAAAAGCCACAGCGCGTCGAGTGCCAATTGGAATTACACAGTGCAGATCTAGAGTCTTCCCTTTGAAAGCAAACAAAGACAAAAAGAAAGGTATGTCAACTAAATATAGATATAGATATTATGGCAACATCAGAAATACATTTAGGGAAAGATGTAATCATCTTATTTCTAGACAAGACTATTTCCCAAGCACACCAAATGATGGGAGTGCTCATACTATAATCCATACATTTTTAAGTATTTAAAAAGATTCTCCAGTTTAAAGAAATAACCACAAATGAATGGAGGGCTTTTAAAAGTGATTTTAAGAAGAGTTTCATGAAATAGGATTACTGGATACAAGGTCAAGAGGAAAAAATGCTAAAAAAAAAAAAAAAAAAAAAAAAAAAAGCCTATAGACAATAGGATATATCCAATCAGGGGAAAAAAAAAAAACTAATAAACAAAATACTAATTAAAATTTAGCCAAATAAATAAATGAAATAAAATACTGTAAAAGGACAGTCTTCATTTCTGCTTTTGTTTTTTTTTAAGTATTTATAGCCTATCTGGAAAATATACTTTTTATGTTACACTGTCAAGGGCAGCAAAAGAAAATTCAGGTTCATGTCATCAGTAGGGAAACTCTAAAAGTGATAGACACATTTTAATATCTTGTATTCTACTTGAAAATTTCAAAGCACACAGACTGTGGTGTTTGGGGAGTGTATGCTCCCAGGATCCCATACCAATTAGCAGGTGAAACTTCTGGGTTACCTTGAAAGTCATTTTCACAAAGGCATTATCAAATTGTTGACACAAGTATTTACACAACCCTGGGAGGTCCTAACTTTCTAGTAGAATTGAAAAGTCCATGAAAATAAAGTAGCCACGGCATTTTGGTTAAAGGTAAGAACCTAGAAGAAGTTCCCAAATTCCCATTTTCTCAACTTTCAATTTTTGTCTTCTAAATTCTCTGTTCTTAGAAAGTAGCTTATTGGCACATGTTTTCAGTACTTTACATTTATTCTCCATTAAAACGTAAATGCTATTATTTGCCAAGGACTCTGAGAACTTTAGAAGAGAAAACATTAGCACATTCTAAATAAATATATAACATTCACAACTACCGAGATCTATAGCAGGATCTGGGGTGTTCCACATTTGAACTACATCAGCAAAAGGGGGGCCAGAGAGAGAAGAAAAAAATATGTTTACTCCAAGAGAACAGGAACAACAAACTGGTATTCTCCTACTGAAACAGTGTTAGAGTTAGCCTTTCCTATCAGGAGTTTCTATTTTTACTACAGTGAGGTTCTGTTTTTTGTTTTTTTTTTTTAACATGAAATTATACAAAGGGTAGAATCAGAACACTGTATTGTCTTTATAAGGGATGAAAAAATTATCAATGTCCTTCTACATGTCATGATCATCATCATTTTATTCTAAGCATCTAATTGAATAATCAATTAGTATCACTAACAGAAAGGAAAACTTCTAACTGATTATTTCAGGGGTAACTAGCTTAAATATCTAGTTTGGTTAATCACATTATTCTAGTTATTCTAATATACATATAATAACAATAACCATCACAATAAAAGAATAAGTTATGGAATAGGTACTCTTGCTCTTAAAGTTTGACAGAAGAGCAAAGTGAGGCGCACACACCAAATGACAGTTTATGTGCATTATTTCATATGTATTTCATAATAATTCTGTAGGATAGAAGGAACCAGCAGTGTCTTACCCTCTTTTATACCAGAGAAAACGGAGCATCACCAAGATTAAGTCATATATACAAGATCGTAGAAGCAGAAGGCTTTACATCCAATCTTAGAACCCTGATAATCTATTTACAAGTTCAGCTCTCTTTTAAACACACTTTGTTGCTTCCAAGGGTATTCCAATGAAAATTAATCAAACAGCTGTGAACCTATCCAACCACAACTCACAGCAAAAGTGACCCGATAGTTCAGATATAGTCAAAGATGACATTCAAAATATTTAACCAGTAATGCAGTCTGGGCTCTAAGGTATCAGAAGGAGTTCCTGATCATTCAGAATGGACAATGAGTGCCTACAGGCTGACTGGCCACTCTGTGTATGGCTCAATTACCGTACCCCGATGCCGGATGTCTATTAAACACAAACTGAGTAACGGGTTATAAATAGAGACATAGGTCTGAGAAAGAAGCATTTAATGGCCACGACGTCATCTGTCAGTGTGTAGATGCTATCTGGGTTCTCCTAAGTAACATCACTTTCAAGGGGAATATTGGAAAATAAAGAGAAGTACTGGCACAAATGTACCTTGAGGGGTATGACCAAGACAGTGAAGAGTCCAGAAAACGTTTCATTTCAAACACAGCTAGCTATAGGTGGTTGATGAAAAGTGAGGAAATTTAGGGTAGCAAGAAGACAGTAAAGAAGGTAATGAAAAGTTTTGGAGTCATTCTGTTCTCAGATGGTTTGAATTCCATCTCCACTGCTTACCAGCTGTTTGACATTTGGAAAGTGATTCAACCTTTCTGAGCCTCAATATTTTCTATGTAAAATAACAATAAAGATACCTACCCTCCAGGGATTCTGAGAAGATTAAAGGAGGCTCTTCAAATAATTTATCTCCCAAACTGGGACAATTCTTACATAGTAAAATGGAAATCTAGAAATAATTAAGCTGTAACAAATGGAATGCCACAAACGGAGAATGGCCCAAACTGCCACATGTGGGCATTCTACTGAACGGTGATTTGAATAACTTTAAAAACAAGTTTAGGAATCAATTTTGATCTAAGAGTTGATTAGAGTACCTTGCCCACGAAAAGGTGTGACAAGAATCCAAGTAACCACATACACAAAGTGTTAAAGAAGTCTACTAAATAAAAAGCACTGACCTTCCCTTTTTTGCTGGATCCAGACACATACTCATTCTTTCTCAAATGAAATATATGAATGTCTGTGTTAAAATAGGTCAGATTACTAGTTCCTGATGCTTCTACCTTCTCTCATTTTCTCAGAGAAATATATGTAAAATGCAAAGAAAAAGTAAAATCAAAATCACGTGACCACCACAAAGTGCAGAGAGAAACAGGATTCTGGAAAAGGGAAGGCATAACCCTTACTTTAAAGAGGCATGTGCCACCAAAGAGAAAAAGTGGCCCTCCGCAATTCTCCACTGCAAAGTACAAATGAGCCCATGGCAGAAGAGAAGATGAAAGAAGAGCAAAAAGAAAAGAGAGAAAGAGAGAAACTGGTCCTCACACCTGTTCCCTTATTCAGTGCCATCAAAACTTCCTATTAATGACACCATTAGCCCCCATGCTACCACATTCAGTAGCTGATTCTCAGTTCTCAACTTGCTTTAATGCCATCATTTGCTCCACAGGTACTTCTTCAAAATGTTTCTTCATTTGCTTTCCTAGATGACAAGTACACAGTTTTACTCCTACGTCAAGGACACTCCCTTCACCCAATTTCCTGTGCTGGTTCTTCCACATTGCCCTGGATAGATGTACAGAGGCTGCATCTAGAGCGTTGTTGTTTCAAGCCAAAAGCTTATAATCCTTCCTGACTGTTCTTTTTCTCTCAAACCCCATATCCAATAAATCCCTCAGAAACTCCTGTTGACCCTAACCTCAAAACACATCCAGAAAATGATGTTGTTACTGTGCTCACTACTACCACACTAGTAAAACAAAACAAAACAAAACAAAACACAACAAAACACAACAAAACAAACAAAAACCCTCCATTATCACTAAGTGGTCTGGATGTTTCCAAACAGCCTAC